CTCCAGAAGCACCTCCTCGTACCTGCTTCTGGCTTCACGACTTGAACAGAGACCGAGGGGTTTGCCATGGTTTGCTGGTTTCTATATGGTTTCTACTTTGATGCCCTCGGCCCAGGCACTCACCTCGACATTTGTCCTCACTGGCTTTCTGCCACGCCACTTCAGCCCTAAACTGAAAAGCCTACACGCGAAGCTGTAAATCCAGGACCGGAACCATCTGCGACAGCGAAAGAAGAAAGACAACAGCGAGGCTCTGTTGCAAACCGCTTCTGCGACGCAGTGCTTTCAGACTGGTGTTGTATGCGTAGTTTGCTGATCCTGTGCAGTGCCTGTCGATCAAGCAGTGTCGATTTCACGCGTGTGACCGTGTGTGTTTTATATACTGGCAGTTATGTTCCACTTGGTTTTTACAAACAACACAAACCAAAAGCCCATAATTCATAAACGCCCTCTATAAACCCTAAAGTTTAAACCATGTCACGCACACGTGTCTCGAGGGTGTTTCCAAGCTTTTCTTCGGAGCTGCGCCTAATTGCAGTTGTGCTTTCCTTCACCTGCCTTAAACGCCGACTCGTCTGCAGGCCGTCATTTTTGTCTGGATATAAGTATAGCGAGAGTTCGGAGGGCCCTGCGGAGCACATGAGGTTCAGAAATTTGAGGTAAACCTTAAAATTCGAATCCCGATTCCGAACTGCTCCAAACCCTACACTAGGCCCTAAACCCGGACTTGCGTTACAATGAGCTTCCCAGAATGCCTAGACCCCGATCGAAAGCCTGTACGACTGAAGCACCGATAACGCCCCAAAAGCCAGGAAAGTACAGGGTTGTGGTTCTAGGGTTTCGGGTTATGTATGTCCGAGGGTTCGAAAAGAGCCAATCCTATGTAAGCTGACTCTATGCAGGACAAGGATACCAGGAACAAGGAGCTCGTAAACGAGGAGGTGCGGCTGCGCAGGTAATATAATATATTGCGAATATACCAGTATCATTGCTGCTACTGCTACTACTACTACTACTACTATTGTTAGTATTTAGTGGTATGGCAATTATTATTGGTATTGTTATTGTTCGCGTTGTTTTTATTATTACTAGTAGTAAGCTTTGCTAACATTTCACTATTACTATCACGATTACTGCGGGAGTCGAGAGGTTAAGGGAGGTTGCTTTGGGTTCCGCGGTTTGAGGTCTTAGCATGGGGTCCCTCCGAAGCATCGAAGAAGTTTACGGTGTTCATCGGACTGGTTTGAGAGGGTGTCTCTTGTAACAGCTTTATCAGGTAGGCTCATCGGCGAAGGCTTTAGCCCCTTTAGCTTGCCGCCGTAAGCTCGAAGAGGGCTCTGGTAATGTCGATTATGGGCCTTATCTGATCCGCTGGGTAGGCAGACCAATGACGGGGCAGCCCAGGATAGCCCAGGACCTGGATCGCGTTTCTGTTGTTCTTCCATGGTCGTTCAACCCCCGAGCCGCTCGGAACCCTGAACGGTCAAAGATTAAACCCTGAGCCCCCAACCCCGACACCAGAAGACATGTAACACCCTCTATCCCCCTCCCTCTGTGTCTCTGTCTCTCCCTCTCTTCCCTCTCTGTCGCTCCCTATCTCCCTTCTCCCTCTCATTCTCTTGCATGCATGCGTGCATGCATGCCTGCATATATGTATATGTATATGAGTCATCAAGTAAAGAAGTAAGGATGAGCTCGAATGTACGTACGTACCTATGTATGGACGTACAAACGTAGGAGCTAAATAGATGGATCACTGACTTCAAACCATATATGACAAGCCCACTGGTTGCAGGTGAACGCCACGGACGACAGCTCTGGTGCACCGGTGACGGCCAACGGGCAGCTAAAGCCGAAGCCAATGCCAGAAGGCCGTTAAACCCTAGACCCTAAACCCTAAAACCCAAAAGCCCTAAACCCTAAAACCCAAGAGCCCTAAACCCAAAAACCCAAAAGCCCCAAACCCACTCTCAGAGGAACCCGACAGGAATCCTAAACCCCAAACCCTTAAGGAAACGTTAAACACGACTCTTGGCTTGGGCGGTTTACTGGTTTTGTTGGCTTTACGGGTTTAGGGTTTTCTAGTTTATATACGGGTTTCGGCATTCTTACTCATGTTCTTTCAGCAGTTTGGGGCTTAGGGCTTGTAGGATGCAGGGCTTAAGGTTTTAGGATTTGGGGTTCTGCGGTTTTAGGGCTTCGTGTTTTGAGCTTAGGGCTTATGGACTGTTGGATTTGGGTTTTTGGTTTAGGCGTTGGCCAGAAAAATCGAAGGTTTACAGCAAAGTGGTGCCTTCTTCATGTCTTGCGGATGGCTTATGGAGGATTCGGCAACTGATGCAGCCGGGGATGGTGGCTTTTAGGATGTTCAGATGACTTAGTATGTATACATAAATCATATATATATATATATCTATGGTGTATATATATATATATATCGCTGTTTGCTTGTTGTTTAGCTTTGGGCTTTTGAGGCTTAGGGTTCTAGCTTTAGGTTGGTGTGTAGAGTTCACTGTAACTTGGGCTATTCATTCTTTTCACTCTTGTTTAGGTTGAGGTTGGCTGGCTGATGGGTCTGGTTTAGGGCGTCGGGTGCATACATAGCTGAAACCTATTCCACACCATACCAGCCAGACATGGTGAACGGCAGCAGCAGCAGCAGTTGCAGCCGTGACTATAGCACTGTCGCAGCTTAGGAACAGCAAGGACAACATCACCACCACAACCTGTTGCACTAAGTTCCTAAATTCAAAAACCACAACAGCCTAAAGCCCTTCCTTAAACCCTACACCCTTATAAACCTTCTCAGAACCTTCCAGGACACATCAAAAGAAGCCTAAACTCTGAAGACTTTGCCGGTCAGGGCTTTGGAAGATCGTGACTTGGTCCCACAAGGAGCAGGTGAAAGCCCGGCAGGCTGGGTTTAGGGTTTAGGGTTTAGGGCGGGCTTCAAGGGGGTTTTGAGGGTTTAGCGCTTAGGGTGTTAAGGTGTTTGATTCACGTAGTTCTCCAATACCCAACCTTTAAACTTTTTGGGTTCTTATAATTTAGTAGCAATCTGAAAGTTGAGCCTTTTATTTCTCTGGCGTATCGGGGATTTAAGTTCAGGGTTTACCTTAACACCCGGTTTCCCGGACTTGCGTAAGAGAACCATAGCACGTGCCCTAGAAAGGTAGTGTTTTTGGGAAGGATAAAGGTAAGGTTTTTGGATGGGGATGTAGGATTTGCCCTGAACCCTAAACCCCAAAACCCTAATACAGAGGATTCCGGTTTTTCGGCTTGGAATCTTGGAAAGGTTTAACCGGGTGGTAACGGGCCAGAAGGAGCCCTCACAACGGTTCGTCAGTAGCCTAAACCCCAAGCGGTAAAACGTAAGCCCTAGCCTAAAGCCCTGAAGCCCCAAAACCCTAAACCCTAAAGCCCCAAACCCAAACCCCTGAACCCCAGAGCCGAAACCTAAAGCCTAAGCCTTGAGAACCTGAACCCTAAGCCCTTTGCGGCGTGGCTTGGTGCTGAAAGGGCTCCCTAATCATCCGGATTTCGATATCCTCGTCGTCCCTATAGACTCTATAGGCCTACGAGCCCTATGCCCGAAGCCTTGAACTCAGGGTTTCACGAGACCTCATCTAGATATCGCCCAGCCCAGAGCCCCACAGAGCTGCTAGAGCTCGGGCTTCTCGCCCCTTATGGAGGAACTTTGGTATGAACCCCTGACTCTAAAGACCAAGCCCGAGGTTCCCCGCGACCCCAGCAAAGCACTGCCAAAGATTCTTAAAACGGTTCTTATGCTGAGCCGGAACCTTCAAACCGAAAGCAGGTAAGGCACGAATAGCATTGCGAACCCTCCCTTCCTTGAGGCAGCAGCCAGCGCGATGCAGTTCGACCTGCTCCTCATTTTGACCAAGCCGGTGCGACACCTAAACCCTTGTAGACCGCGATTTTCAGGGGGCTTCTCAACCCAAAAAGCTCAAAGTACGGCGTTGGGGTTTATATAGGGTTTCGGTGACCCAAAAACTATTGTTTTGTCAGCAGCCCTTCGATCCCACAGTATAGTTATCTTCGTAGCCACTCACGCGGAGTCTTCAGGTCAACATTCAGCCTTTTACGGTGTAGGTAACCCTGAGCCGCAAGCCCTAAACCCTAAAACCGTAATCTCCTAAACCCTAAAACCATAGTCCCCTAAACCCCCGGAAACCCTCCCCTCCGAAGCCGAATTCGCGTGGTAACCCTAGTCCTTCAAAGAAGAAGCGTGTTTAGGGTTTTAGGGTTTATAAGGGGTTCAGGGTTTAGGGGTTGAGTTTAGCTTCGGCTGCAGCTAGAACCCCAGAATCATTCAGGCATAAAGCCTTAAATCCTAAACCTTTTGGGCATGTACATGCGTATACACATGCAAATGTCCGCTTTCTACCGCCCCATCTACACCTGGGTCGACGTGTGTTCAGCCATGCTGGGTCTTACGAAAATTTGTTGTTGCGGCAATGTGGCTTGTCTGCTGCTTAGGTCATCCCGCTGATCATGCTTGTGGCCACAGGGCAGGTTCCGCCCCAAGCAGTGCCTTTGAGATCTTTCTTTCATCGCGAAGCAGCAACTTCTGGAGACAGAACTTAAGGGCTCAAGGGACATAGTCAGTAAGCATATAGGGCTATATAGGGTTATATGTTCCCTAAGTAGGGCTATCCCATTTACAACCTTATGACCTTCGGTACTTATTCCCATGAGGCTTTAAAGATGCCAGAGACCAGGGCTTTGCGCTTCGGGGGTTTACAGTAGGGATCTGTAACACTAAGACGATGCTCTGTGGGCTTGGGGTTTGGGGTTTAAGAACCCTAAACTCTAAACTCTTAACCCTAAACCCCCTTAGCCCTAAAACCCTAAACCCTAAACCAAGAACCACGGCTTTTTCCCAGGAGCCACATGCATCTCGGCCATTTGGAGGTGGCAGCCGTGTCGGCTCAACCTCCCGCTGCTGTCCCACTTCTACTGCAGCTCTTTTAGGCGCCATGCGAGCTTTCGCTCCGATCCTGGCTGGTTTCTTTGTGCAGCAATTTGACATGCAAAGGGTTTAGGGGTTAGGGGTTTAGGGGTTTATAGGGGCTTAGGGGTTTAGGGGTTTAGGGGCTTAGGGGTTTAGGGGTTTGGGGTTGAGGGTTCAGCCAGAGCCAACGACCGAAAGTTTGGACCTAAAGCTACAGGCGTCGCCAGAACACCCTCCAGAACGCCGGCTTCATTCAACAAAGGTCCCAAAGGTCCGCACCCAAAGCTTCGCTAAGAACACAACGAGACAGTAAGAAGCACAGGAGCCGTCAGTTATGGGCTTCAGGGTTCAAGGGAAGCCTCATAGAACCCAAGACGCGCTTAAGGTCTAACCTCCTTCATGAGATGGTCTTAGCAGCTGGTCGGGTTCAGGGTGATGCAGTGGCTGAACTCTAACTTATCTGTAACTGCCCCGTGAAATAGCTCATCTGGCAGCTATTGGATTGTGCCTTTGCGCAGTGAAGCTTTCGCCCCTGACGGGGAGGGGTTTAGGTCACCACCCAATGACAGCAGATATGGAAATCGAATAGACAAACTTCACCACCGTCAAACGCTCAGTTACCGTCAAGAACAACCCCGAGCCCAAGGAGCCTACGACAGAAGAGCCTAAACAGTTGGAACTGTAGCCCATATATAATGAGGGTGTAATATGCCCCTGTCTCATACAACCCTTATGGAACCCTTGGAGTAACCCTTCTGAAATAACATTCTAATACATGCCCCTAATTACCTAATAATTTAAACCCTCTCAACCAAGCCAGGTATGGGTTACTAAGACCCTAAACTCCTCCTAAACCCTAAACCCTAAACCCTAAACTCCTAGACCTTAAACCCTAAACCTGGACCCTAAACCTTATAGACCCCAAGCCTCCTCAGGCAGGTATGGGCCACTAAGCCTGCTGTCGTCGTCAGCGGTGCCACTGGGCGCACGGGGTCGCTCGTTTACAAAGACCTGAAGGCTGGATCTCCGAGATCTGTTTTTGCAGCTTTAGCGCTTCGGGGTTTAGGGTTTCGGTCACAAGTATAGGGTCCAGGGTATACACTTTTGCGGTTTTTGTTGCTCGCAGGATTGAAGCAGTACTTTTGGGGGGTATGTTTAAAAGTAACCGTGCGTCCGGTTAACGGGCTCCTACTGCAGTCACATGCTTGGTCGAAATCTGGCGTCTGCAGTTACCTCATCGGCAACTGAATTGCTTTCATAAGTTCCAGATTTCGTGATAAAGTGTCGTGGAAGATGTCAACTCAGCGAACATGCGAGGGGCACAGCAGCTAGTTAGCTAGTTGTGATGAACGCACAAAGTCAGAGCAGTTCGCATCTGCGCATGCAGAATCCAGGTAAACCCTAAAGCCTACACCTACTCAAGCCTTGAACCCTGTCAGGCTATCTTGTCTCAAAGCCCTTAACCCTTAAGCCCTAGACGCTAAACCCTAACCTGACCTGGCAGGCCACCGGGCAGTATGAGGTCAGGGCCTTCGTGCGGAACGCGGCATGGCTAAAAGACCTATGCCCCAAAAGCCTAGTTCTCAACCCAAGGCCCCGGAGCCATAGGTCCGAGACCCTAAAGCCTAAAGCTTGTAGGGTTTCGGGATTAGGATTTAGGGATTAGGGCTTAGGGTTTAGTGTTTAGGGTTTTGGGACACCCTGCGTCCCAATACCGAAGCTCTAGAGTGCAGGAAGCCGTCAATTTTTCAGGGCTGCAAGCGTTGAAGCTCCACAAGGGATAAGGGTTTAGGGCACCGGGCTTAGGGTTCAGGGCAAAGACTCGGCACAGGCATGGGTTGTGGTCGTTGATGCCGGAGCTCCCATAAGAAAGCTGCAGAGACATTTAGGGTTTAGGGTTTAGGGTTTTAGGCATCCGAGCATGCAGGATCATGACAACTCTGAAATTGAAAGCCTTCGATGCAACTCGAGGCTTGGGAAGTTTAAGTGGGTGGTTCAGGTGCCGAGAGTTTCTAAGACATGCGAAGTCTGACAGGGGTGTAGGGCTTATAGGTTTTAGAGGTGTTTTTTTGTCCATCGCACTTGTGAGTACTAGCGCGTATGATGCAAAAAAAAGTAAGCAGGAAGTTTTGTGATGGCAAGGACTGCCAACATGGATAGCCCAGAGCCATCACTAGGATCGTCAACTCTACCATTCTTTATTCGTGATCTTGTGAGTCCTAAACTCCAAAACCTTCACTTGTCGGCCCTCACGCAGACAACGAAACTCCCTAACTCTTATAATAGCAGCCTGCACAAACCGAGGCAACGAAGGCCAAAGCAGTGCTTGGCTGCACCTCCTGCAATGAGACCGAGGGCATCTTTGTTGGCGATGTCTCTGAACCAGAGACACTGAAAGCCGTAATGGCAGGACTGTCGGGCCCTAAACACCACGAACCCCAGAAAGTGGGAGCACGGGACAAGGATGTGTGCGGTTAGGGGTCTAGGATTTAGGGTCAGGGAGTGTGGGCAGGGTTCAGGCGGCTTGCGGCTCGGAAATTGGAGCTTCAAATCTGGGTAACCCTAAACCGCGAAAGTAAGCAATTCTAAGCACTGAGACCAACCTTGCCGACTTGAGGAAGCCTTTGGGGATCGAACCTCCGTAATGAAGGGACCCCTGTTGTTTGGTAGTGCTTTCCTAGTATGGCCGTTGTATCTGCCTTTTGTAGAACGCCTGAATAGGCCCTTAGAGAAACCCTATTCTAATCATGATTTGTAAGCCCTCTTGAAGCGACCCCGATGCAACTCCCAAGGCCCCAAACCCTAAACCCCTTAATTCCTAAGCCCTTAAACCCCTAAACCCCTAAACCCTAAACCCTTACACCCCTAACCCCTAAACCCTAAACCCCTAAACCCCTGAACCCTCAGGCGCTGATACTCTGGTCATCACAACATCCTCAGTGCCGGTCTGCACCGGCAGCCTGCCTTTCCCAATGAAGAAGTGCGACTTGGAAGACTTCACAACGTTAGGGGATGTTCTTGTTCGAAGCCTTGAATTCCAAGTATTAAAGCCCCTGTTATATTGCCCTCCAATAGCGAGCATCTTACTATTTAGGCTTGTTTCCGCAGCTATCTGAAACTCATGCTTTGTGCCTTCTTGGCAGTAGCTGTTTCGAAGGGCTTGACTTCTAGGAGTTTGGTTGAGGGTAGTAGACTGCCAGCCCTCAGGCAGAAGCCACGTTTATTTCGGCCTTCAGCCAAAAAAACCTGAAGCTTTCGGGCCTCCTAACTTATGGAGTCGACACCGTAGAACTCCATGTCCGAATCTTGGGTACTGCCTTAAAGACGACATGAACCCTGAATTTGCTTAAGGTTCATATACCCTGCAGGGATTCATAGTGTTAGGGTATAGGGCCCCTGCTTCTAAGGGTCATTTGGTCCTTGAGGTGGTTTGGGACTGCGCCTATACCTTTTCATACCTTTGGTGAAGAAACAGGAACTAAGGTTAAGCATGGGATTTGGGGTCTACTACTAGGGCCTTAGGAACTAGAAGGGAGTTTTGATCGAATGGTAGTATGCCCTAAACCGGAAACCCTAAACCGACTGCTGACGGGTTTGACCAAGGCCACTATCCCAAAGGCGGCGAGCCCAAAGAAGTGGACTGGCTTGGCACGAAGGCAAGGGATCAAGCCTAGGGTTTAGGGTTTAGGGTAAGTCTGATTTGGAGCACCTGCCCATTTTGGATCGCATTGACCGATCTTCAAGATGAGCATTCTGCTGTCAAGATGAAGGCCATGATCTCTAGTGACTTGCTCAGCTCCAGATTGCACTCTTTGTCTTGGAGGCCCCGAGTACAGACATCTATCGCCTTTGCGCGGGCAGGGTCATGAGGTCCCCTAAACCCTACCTGGACCCTAAAGAACCTACCTTCTTAGGGTTCCTTATCATGAACTCTTTATATATAGTCCTGAAAAAGGGCAGGTTATTTGGGGTTAAGGTAAGCCGTGAACCATGAAGTCGTAGAGTGCCCAGACCTTGGGGTGTGTGATGACACCATGTTTTCCAGGCGCAGATTGATGCCTTTGGGTTCTCCGGCGGCAGCATGGCCACAAAGCAGCTGCTGTATGTGAGCACCATGGGCACGACCACTCCGGACAACTTCCTGGACAAGCTCGACAAAGGCATGCGGCCATCGGACCGTTGGATTCTCTGTACTAAAGAATCATGCATGCTCATACTAATACACACCCATAATACTACAAGAACTAATCTTAACACCAATAAGTCACTACTACGAATAGGAGTATCAATATTAGCACTGGCAGGTATGGATTCAGAGGAACAGTGTTTGGGGGCTTCAGTTTGCCGTAGGCAGGCCAATACTCAATACCACTAGCACGGTACAGAGCAATGCATGGTGACAGTAGCTTAGACGTTGGAATAACTAGTCGAGTCCTAGTAGCGAGTAAGAGTATCCCCTTCCAGTTGCATTTATTTCAGCGCCACAAAGTCCTACTCCAAATATCATAGAGGCTCCTGCATTGTTCAGACCATCATCTTCGGATTGGAATATGGTCAAACGGCAACTTATTTATTTCAGCGCCACAAAGTCCTACTCCAAATATCATAGAGGCTCCTGCGTTGTTCAGACCATCATCTTCGGATTGGAATATGGTCAAACGGCAACTTACAACTAGCTAGCTAAACTCCCGGAACCTTAAACCTGAACTATCCTGAAGCCTAAGCCCTCAAACCTTACAAGCCCTAACTCCAAGTAAAAACTCCCCAACCCCCCGTAACGCTGACATGCACCTCACAGGCTGGACGTCCTTCTACCACCTCCAGGCCGAAGCTGACGTCATGTCTTCCGGCATTCCCTTCACCATCGCTGCTTGACAATTCAGTTTCGGCCTTAGGCTTGGTGGTTGGATTTCAGGGGTTTAGAACCCTTACAGTGGCCGTGATAGTGACTCTTGGAATTTCTGGGATCTCTGCGTCTTTCGCCCTTACAATTCTGATTTCCAGGCAAAGTAAGCAGGGTTGGAAGTCCATTCTTCGGACACTTGGAAGAGTGATGCACCCCGGGTCAGAGTTTAGGGTGCAGGGTTGGGGTTATTTGTAGTGTTTTTTTTTTCAGGGTTTAGGGTTAGGGAGCGCTGAAAACGGTCTGTGCGCAACACGCAAAGCCTGATTGGTTGAGGCTGCGGAATTGCTGCAGCAAATTCGTGCCAGAATGCAATGTCATCGTGCCTGGCAAAGGGCCTTCATGTCCTAGCGTCAGCCAACATAAAGGCCATTCCAGGAGACTTAATGAGTTGTGTGATGGTTCAACGCAAAGGTCGTAATCTCGCACCTTAGCTTATAAACCCTAAACCCCAAACCGTTTATAAGCTCTATTTTGAGACATTCAACTGTACACAAAGGAACCCTCAACCTAAACATCAGGGATACTGGGACCCTAAGGAGGGTTTAGGGTTTAGGATAGGTTTCTATTTAGGGGGTCCTATCATTGCAGTTACGAGCGTCCTAAAGAAGCCAAGTCTCTGTGGGTTTGTTTCTAATGTTGACAGCAACGTATGTAGGGGTAAGAGTGTTTTGGAAACCTTAGGAATACCTACATAAGAAGGCTGTTTTGACTCGGATGGCCCTTATCTTAGCCGCGTGATCCTGTTGGCCCCCGATGGGGTCTTAGGTGAAAGCCTGTGGCCTCGGGGACGGAGAGCCCGGCCACTCGTCATGACTAAATGCTTGTGTTGGGCTCAAAACGATGTTTGCATGCACGCATCTATATATGCATGTATGCATGTATGCATGCATGTATGTATGTATGTATGTATGCATGCATGCATGCATGCATGTATGTCTGTATGCCTGTAGTATGTATGCAGTAAGTATGCATGTACATATACACGGATAAACATGAAAATACATATATATATATATCATGCATTTACATATGTGTTGTGTGTGTTGTATTTTGTGTGTGTGTGTGTTTTGGTTTTCTTCTGTTGGTTTTTGCCATGTGACACCTCTTTCTGGTTTCCTAGCCAGATTCTGGTTCGCCCTTGTGCTTGTGGTGTTCTTGCTGTCGATTTCTCCAAAAGCATGATCTGGTACGGGTGTTCACGGGTGGGAGATGTCGTACAACTGCGCAGATAGGCTTTAATGCTTGACTTGTTCATATTCTTGCACCCAACATTGCCATGCAGCCTTATTAGGGTTTAGGGTTTAGCAAAACCCGAAACTCTAACCCAAAAACCTGAAGCCCGAGATCCTAAACCCTAGACCAAGTCACAGTATTGACCCTGAGCCCTAGCCCTACCCCCAGACATGCCCCTAAGCCGTGATCAGTTTGCCCCCCGCCGCGGTGTTACCTACAATCCCCGGACGCTGTAAACATCAAGACACAACAGACCGGACCCTTTTGTGTTTGGAGTTTGCCCTTCTTGAGGATTCCCGGTCCCCGCAAGCAGGTTGTACTTGGGATTGTAAGTACCATGCTTGGTATACCTGGTCTTTTAAGGTAGAAGCCAGGCAGTTGGAACATGATTATCCTCATGGCCTGAAGGCAAAGAAGAGGGATTCCCAGCACTATGCCTTAACTCATTTTCCAGCATTTTTTGGGTGCACGCTCTGACTAATCCGGATATCCTAGGTCCCCAGATCCTTTAAAAATGGCGAGTCATAGACGTGTTCACGTTGTTTGTCCCCGAAATTTCAGCACTTGAAGCAGCACCTTGAGCTCTACAAGACCGTCAAGTGCCTGTTCTTATCAGTGAAGGAAGGATGGCATTTTTCCTGCTCTAGAAAGCTTCTCTCAACCTTAAACCCAAGTGCAAGGCAAGCATAAGCTCCTCGTGGAGCATGACGATGCCAGCTTCAGCCTGGCAGCTAGTCATGAGTCCGGCACTTACCGTGCATCGGTCTGGGGAGGGATACGTGGATTCAGGCTTTAGGCGAGAGACACAGGCTCCTTCTGATTCTATTCCTGCTTTCTTCAGAATATACCGGAATCTCAGAGAAATTCCCTGCTCTGAAATCCTTTTTCCCTAAGCCTAAACCCTGTCACCTGAAACAGCTGAGCAGAAATCTCCAGTTCTCTAAAGTGGGGTCCTTTTTGGGTCCCCAAAATGGTACGACACACTTGTAGAAAGGACCCTAAAAGGGAGCCTAATTCAGAGAACTATCCCGGAGCGTATGCCCCCAAGCTGCCGCTGAGGATTCATCGAGAGGATGTCGCGCGTGTCATGGTGGAATCGATCCTTCGCCTCGCTCAGTGCAGTTTCCTTTAAACTTTAAGGGGCTTAGACAGGGTTTAAAGGGATCTATAGAGTATAGGATTCCGAGGGGTTTAGGGGTTTAGGTTTTCGGGTTTAGGGGTTTTAGGATTCGGAGTGGTTGGTGCAGGATTTAGGGCTCAGGGCTTACGGGGTCCGCGGGATCCAGGAATTTAGGGGTTTACAAAGTTTAGGTTTGGGATCCAGGGACAGAAGGGGTTTGGGAATGGGAGTAATATATGGGGGTTTTCCGAAAATAGGGGACCCTAATAGAGTACCCCTAAATAGTAGGATCCCTCTTATAAGGGCCCCAAAATAAGGTACCCCCCCATGATTTCGGAATCTCCCATATGCCAGGAGTGGGGGCCCACCGGGTTTCCTTCTCTGTTGTGAGTTGGAGTGCAGCTTTACCCTTAGGCTCCTTAGTAGTTCCTTTTTGAGATTACCCTATAGGATTCTAAATTCTGAATAATTATAAACCACAAAAAGGAACTACTTAGGAGCCTATGGGTACCTTAATCCTAAGCCGTAGTCGTTGGTGCCATACACTCTGAGATTGGCGTGGGAGTGGCACAGGGATAAGATGATAAGACAGCTGCCGGCTTCTACCCATTGCCATCCAGCTTGTGTGCTTCAGGGAGTAGGGCTCAAACTATGAATAGTACCTGAAATGCAAGGCAAGGGAATGGTTTAAACAACTCAGAAATATGTTTTCATTTTTGCAACTTGCACCACATTTGGGTGCGGGTTCAAGCAAGTACATGGCTAAGGGTTGTCTATGGCTTAGGGTTCAGGGTTCCGGGCATTGGCCGAGGATGCTCTTCCTTGCAGCGCAGTCCCCGGAATAGATAGGATTCTAAAGACCGAAGAGACTTGGTGCAGCTCAACCGCTTGAGCCTTATCGTGTTCCCCATTGTATATACTTTGGGCCTAAAGTACCTACATACGGACTACGTCAAGGCAACAGTTTTGTGCTGCTCAGTACTGGAGGCGGCGGTAGCTACTAAGTTACCGAAACTGATAGCCCGAACCCTAGGAGAAGTAAGCCCTCAATCCTAAGCCAGTAATGCATTTGGGATGAACAGAATGAACAGAAGCCATACTTCCAGGCTACTGATAACACCAATAATCTGATAATTTCGATGACACATGATTGCCTTTACAATTGTGTAGCTTGTTGATAACGGCAAGAATAGTAAACCCTAAACCCTAATCGCAGTTTTCCTAGGATCCGATCTCGCTCCCTAGCCGTCGGTCTCCGATTTGACCTTTGCTCTGCGGCGACGGGCGCACCCACGACGGACCTCCGAGGGCTTTCGCCGCTCTTAGGTTATTAGGATCTGTAAAATCCTTTAGGGTTTAGGGTTTAGGGTTTAGGGGCTTTAGGCTTTGTTGCTGTTATTTCAGGGTTTAGGGTCTAGCGGCTTTAGGGTTGAAGGGTCCATGAGTTTCCGTTTTAAGCTTTGGGGTTCAGAGTTTTTGCAGGGAGGATCAGAGTCTTGCATTGCGAGCGTCCCGCAGCCCTGCTCGGTCAGCTGTACCTAACCCCCCAGGTACCTACTATATAGGGTACTAGAGCCCCTAGGGCCCTATGAAGTAGGTACTTGGGGGGTTAGGGTGTACCATGCAAGAGTCCAAAGAGCAGTTCTCGCCTCTGATCGTCTGGTCTGTGCTCTTCTGGCAGTGCAGGCCCCAGGATGTGAGTGCACAAAGTCGAAATGGACACTGCAAGCACGTGAGAGTTTGCAAATGCAGTACAGTAGGACATTGTGCCGCACAGATGGCAAATATCACCTCACATGATACAGGATAGCAGGTGGCACAGAGACATGTGTTCTACTTCGAAGTTCTGTGAGCTTGGGAGTCACTGAGTAGGTTCGGGGCTGGGCATGTAGAGAGCGTTGAAAGCTTTTGGGCTTCCAGACCCCGTCCCGGAAAGACCCCATGTGGGTCCTAAAAATGTACCCTGCTTGCAGTCTGACTGTTTTGCCAGGGTTTGTTGCCGCAGGTTCAAGCCTCGAGGGCACGGCCACGAGAAAAAGACTGAAAGTATCCTGGAAGGTCTAGCGAGTCTCAAGTTTATGTGTCAGGCATCCTCAGCCGAGCAGTCAGCAGCATCCCCGAGTAATCAAAGCCGCACGGGCTCTCTGTGTCGCCGCAAGCCATCGGTCAGTCGCGCGAAGATGGAGCTCTTCTATTTCGTGCTGCCCGCGCCCAACGTGGAGAAAAGCAAGGCCTTCTTCACCAAGGTCTTTGGTTGGAAAGGCTACGGCGGTGGACAGGGTGGACATGTCGACTGCACCAACACTCCCTGTGGCCTCGGCGGTGATGTGAACGAGGTCTATTTCACCACCTTAGATCTCCCCAAAACGCTCGAAAAAGTCCTTGCCCACGGTGGTACCATCGTGACTAGGTGCCCCAGTAGTACCCTTTTGCCCTTTTTAAGAAAAAGGGGTACCCTTATTATTGAGGGGTTACCCCTAAACCCTAAACCTTATAAACCCTACAACCTAGGTGAAGGAGACTGAGAACTTTGTCGGCAAGGCTGCGCACTGTCAAGACAACCAGGGGGTTCATCTCTGGTTTCAAGAGCCCAGCGCTGACCCACATATCCGTGAG